CTTCGCTGTGCACCAGCGCCTGCCCAGTTTATCACACGCACACCCCACATTTGCACACGTGTGTGCACACGCAGAGCTCCTTCGCTGTGCACCAGCGCTTGCCCAGTTTATCACACCAACATTGCAGACCTCACATTTGCACACGCGTGTGCACACGCAGCCCCTTCCCTGGCACCACGTCCCGTGCACACGCATGGGCACAAGCGGAGCCGCTTCGCTGCGCCCTGCACGCCCTCCCATCCCCATTCCCGTGCCATTCCCGCCCCATTCCCGCCCCATTCCCGGAGCCCGCGCTGCCGGCTGGCCCGGCGCTGTTGCTCTTGGCTCGGCCGCTTCCTGTTTTCCGGCGCCGCGGCCGGGCAGCGGGCAGAGACCCGGCAGCTCGTGACACGCACGGCGCGAGCCCGTTCCCGGCGTTGGGGAGGATTAAACCATTCCAACCAAGCCGCCCGCCTGGATTCCTGCTGGGGGGACGCGGGAATGGCAGCGAGCGACGGGGCCGCGCGGTGCGAGGAGGACACACGAGCAGCGGTGCCCGGGGGGCACCCGTGGGGCGCCGGGGGACCCGTGGGGACCCACAGGGGCAGGGCGGGCGGCGGGCGCCAAGCACAACACGGAGCAGCTGCGGGGCCGGCCTTGCTCAAAGGGCCCTTTGACTGCGGCGAGGAGGAGGAGGAGGAGGAGGAGGAGGAGGAGGAAGGGGAGGCGGTGGCTGCCTTGGGCAGCCGGCCCAGCCGGCGCTGCCCGGACTCCGGGGCCCCTTGCCTGTGTCCAGGGCGGGGGGTTGTGCCCGGACTCCTGGGCCCCTCGGGCTCCACGGGGCTGGAGCAGGGAGGGAAGTCCCAGCTTTGCGTTTCGCCTGGTGCCCAATTCCAGATGTCCCCCCAGTTCCCCCATTCCCAGGGTGATGGTGCCCTCGGGAAGAGCAGGAAGCTCCCAGGACGGACCAGGCGCCCCTCTCTTAAAAGCAACGTGGTCCCCGCATGGTGGGAATTTATGTATTTGAGATATATATATATATATATATTGCATATATGTATATATATATTGCACACCCGCATCCACGGCGCCCTCCAGGGCACTCGGGCCATGAATTGTGCAAAACTCTTCCCTGACGGCTCCTCTCGCTCCAGAAAAAGTAGCTGGGGAGCAGCCCGGACATCAAAAGCAATCTAAAATAAAATAAAATAAAATAAAATAAAATAAAATAAAATAAATAAAATAAAATAAAATAAAATAAAATAAAATAAAATAAAATAAAATAAAATAAAATAAAATAAAATAAAATAAAATAAAATGAAAGCAATGTGGGTCTATTCTGATAAACTCGGCTTAAGGATGCTGCTGCGCGAAGGGAAAGGCCTGGGGGGGATGCACAAGCTGCCTTGGATCCGGAGGAACGGGAAGCAGCGGGAAGGGTCCTGCTTGATGCCACCTCCAAAGGGGACCCCAGTGTCCCCAAAGGGGAGGTCTCACTAGCGCGGAGCCTGAAGAGCCGGATTGGGAATGGCGGGATGAGTGGCGGGATGAGTGGTGGGAGGAGGGCGGCCGGAGCGGGTGCTGGGGGCCCCGGCGCTTTCGGGGACCCTGGGGTTTTGGGGAGCAGTTAAGCGTGCGGCGGTGGCAGGAGGGCACCGGGACCTAGCGGAGCGAATCGCCGCTCCGGGATGGAGCTCCCCGGATCCCTGCGGTGCTCCGGGATGGAGCTCCCCAGATCCCAACAGCGCTCCAGTATGGAGCCCCCTGGATCCCTCCGGCGCTCCGGGATGGAGCTCCCTGCATCTTGGGACCACATGGAGGTGCTCAGAGGGCTTTGCTGCTCGGGCCACCCAGCGCCACAACGATGGGCATTATTGTCCACGCGGGAGCGATCGATGCCGATGCTCGCGGTCCTCTATCAGCTTTAGTGCCCGCCTTCACCCTATCCATTGTCATTCCCAAAGGGGAAAAAAAAGCTCAGTTAGTCCCCTTTTGGGATCTAAGACTGTGGAGCGAGAACGAGGGGAACGGGGGTTTGGATCCCCGGGAATGCCCCGGGAATGCCAGAAATCTGTTGGGTTCAAGGGCACTGCGCCCCATGGTGCGATGTGAACTCATCCTGAGGGGAGGGATCCCCGGCTCCCTGGAAACATCCAGTGTGATGGATACGGGAGTGGATGTTAGGGTTATCACGGCAGGGATTTGACCCACCTCCTGGCCCACATTCCCTGGTCCCAACCCAACCCAACCAGGGAATGGTCCAAAGCAGGGTCAGTCACTTTCCCATCCAAATAACGACTGAGGAAGGGCAGGTAGCRAGAGCGTGTCCGCGCATCCCCTCGGCACCTCTCGCCTGACGGGGAAGAGACGTGCTGATGAGCTGGGGTTTAAAGTTGGGCCCCGGACCGGGTTTATGGGGGGTCACCAAAGACGTGCGCGCTCCTCGGCCACAGYGCAGTTACCAGGGCTCAAGGAGGAGCTCCCATGGGTGCATCAGCGGCCCCCGAGTTCACCAAAACCGCGCGCTAGTGCCGGAACAGCCGGCGGATGGGAGCTTGAAACGGTCCGTGGGTCCTTGGAATACGCTGGGCTTTGGYATCAAAAGGAAATCCGGGAGGCGGAGACCACTGCATGATCTAAGGGGGTTAATGCAGTGATGGGACCGCTGTAAGGACACCCGTCTGCAGCAAGGAGCATCATCCGCAGCAAGGAGCACCATCCGCATGGAGCACCATCCGCAAGGAGCATCACCCGCAGCTCTGCTCCCCGCAGCAGGACCACTCTTGGTGACTGATTTAAAGGACTGTTTCTTCACCGTTCCTTTGATCCCTCTCATAGACCTAAGTTCATCTTTACAGCATCTGCCTACAATGAGAGTCCGGTGCAGCGGTCTCTGTGGACTGCATTGCCGCAAGGCATGAAAAACAGCCTCGCTATTTGCCCAAAATACCCCAAAACACCCCAAAGCGTATTGCTGTTATCTGGATGACGTATTGGTAGCCACTTCCTCGGCACAGGAATTGCTGCTCATGGGCTGGTGGTGGCTCCTGAGAAGCTACAACGTGCAGCACCATGGCAGTATTTGGGGTGGCTGGACCGAAGCAGAGGGCCACCAATGCTCCAAATACCTGCCCTGATGAAACGCCCAGCGATGATCAGAAGGTTTTGGGAGTCACAAACTGGTTATGGCCCATCTTAGGGTTGACAACAAGCTGTCCCCGTTATTTCCTCCACTGAAAGGAGATCCAAGTCTCTCGTGTCCTCAACACGATCTCAGCTGCTCAAGAAGCCCTGAATGTCACTGCAGAAGCTGGAGGCACCCAGCAGCTCTCTAGGACAGAGCTGTAGGTGCCCCTTCCCTTATATRCTGCATATATGTATTGGGTTTGGGCCCCACCAGGGTTATGGCTCTGTGGAACCATAATTGGATGTCCCATTGCTCATATCAGAATGGCAGCTGATCGTGGAGACCCACAAGGGYCCACCACAAAACTATGGAACCACCTGCCTGCGTAATGGCTTTCTGTGTGCACTGCCCCTTAAACATAAGCATAGACTCAGCCTATATAGCGAGCCTTGTGGCATGTATAGAGGGAAGCCTGATAAAAGAGGWGGCCGATCCACAGTGGTGGATCTCTCTGTGGACCTTGCTCCAGCAGCGCAGACAACCCTACTGTGTCCTCCACGTTCAGAAGAACCTACYGTGAGCGGCCGCCGAACGGGCTCTTATCCAGCTGGGAAAACAAGGSTTGCAAGGGAATGATGGATGGGGGAGGCTTGAGGGGCGGCTGGGTCATTGGGGGGTTCCRATTTGGACATAGGCATGGATAAAGCTGGGATTAACTACGGTTGGAACAGCGCTAGCGGTGTTGCCTTGCCTGCAAAGGGCCCTGCAGCAGAGGGTAAGTCCAGCATCATTGTAGAAACGCGAAAAGGGGGAGATGGGAGGTCTGAGGGGTGGTCTGACCTTCAGCTGCTCTGACGTTCACCACGTCCTCGAACCAGGCTGGAAAAACCCGGAGCGAGTGGAGTAAACAACTTCTGTGGAAGCTGCAGAAGAAGAAGGGAAGCTGCTGATGAGAAGGGAACGGTCAACAGGAGCGGGGCACGAGGCTCTACGGGATATTTTTAAGGGGGACTTGGGGGAGTTGGAGGGGAGGAAACACAATATTGTACTTGCTTGATCAATAAATGCTTATGCCTGCAGCCCACGGCCGTCCTGTTGTAACTGCAGAGCCAGCGGGAGCCGACAGGACAGGGCCCCAAAGCAGCTGCTGGCATCGGGATGAGCCCRAATTCCCAGGGATGCTCCGGCCGGGCAGAATTGGCCGCACGGGGAGAGCGGCTCTGCAGGGCAAGGGGCTCCCGTCGGAGCCGGACGGATCCCGCTGCCGATGGGACAGCAACGACACAGCACAGGTGCTTTTCTATTTCTTTTTTAAATCACCTTGGATTAAAAGCTAAACCAACACCTTCCCTGCAATAAATAGCATCGTCTTTGGGGAATTGAAAGACGATTCTTTTTTTCTTGTCTTCCACCCGTGTCCCTTAAGGAGATGTATGTGCAGATGTGGAGACCTCCTCTGCTCAAAGGTTGTCCATGGCACAGAGCTGGTCAGCGCCAGCAGAACCAACTGGGTTCTGAAGGAATGAAGTCAGAGTTTGCTGTTTTGCTCTTTTTTTTGGCATTCTTGGTGACGGCCACACACAAAGACGTCCCAGATCCCCTCAAYGCGGAGAAGGGCGAGACTTTATTTACATGAAGTCATCGGAGTCGTTGCCATCCTGCAGAAAAACAGGCAGATTGGGATCACTGCACACACTGCAACGGGAAGAGGCCAAGCAGCCCTGTCCTCCAGCCACCCCAAAAGGCTCCTGTGGCACCAGCCAGAGCTCACCTGATTAGAGGACATGTTCTCTGCCTTCATCAGCGACGAGTAGCTCCTGAAACGACAACATCTTGTGTTCAGAAGCCACCACCAAAGGTGTATTTTAATAAAACAAGACCAGAAAAAAAGAGTTTTGCCTTTCTAAATGCAGACAGGCCAGGCCAATGCTTGCCCCTCTCCCACGGCTTGGCTGCAGAAAACCCAGACGTGCGCAGCACACAAAATCTCCTCGGTTTTGTTTGAAACTACCAACCAGATAATCCCAGGAGGAAGAAAACCCTTTATTTTTGGGGGGGACAGTCAAGGATCAGCTGTGGGCCAAGGTTAAGCAGGAAGGCAGRCCCCTCGCTCTAACACAGATGATCCTGCTGGTAATTTCTCTTATGCTTAGCTAAGCCCTCCTCTTCCTGATCCCCACACGTGCTGAATCACCCAGGAAAATATAGGAGGTTTCTCAAATTCCACTTTCACAATCATTTCCAGACCAACATGACTTACTGGGCTAAAAATAGTGTCACCCATTAAAAGGCAGCTTTTGGGGCCAGGCAGCTGGTACGTCCGGCGCTGGGGCACAAACCCACGCGYGTGGCTGCATGTTCTGACTCGGACAGAAAGGCCAACTCCACACTTCAAAACACCAGAGTTTAAAGCCAAGTTGCTTAAGGAAGACTGAGGATTTGTTGGYGTTTTAAGGCCACATCGTGGTGCAACAGGGAGCTGCAGAACTTCATTTTAATGCATTTTGGGAGCCTCCCACAAAGCTGGGAGCATCCTCCCGACGCACAGGCAGAGCTCAGCACCTTGCCAAGCTTCACCCAAGGGCAAGCATAAAAAGAATCGCTTCTTCTTTCTAACAATGGCTTCACACGCGGGTTTATTTGAGGAGGAATTGGGCAAGCACATTCACCGGGAGGACAAAGGGAACCAGCCGGCCGTGCAGACATCTCTGTCGCAGCGGGTCAGCTGAGCTGCATTAGGCAACTGCTCAACAGGAACTGCTGACCCACGGCTCTCCTCCTGTGATGACAAAAACTGCCCAAGYTAGAAGCTGGCGCTGCGATTTCTGACTTACCTAAGCTCTTCCAGCTCTTTCTTCTTCTTCATCTCYTCCTTYTCCTTCCGCTTCATCTCCTGGATCTGGGCTTTCTTCTCGTTCCTTTCCTCTCTGTCCCGGGCTTCCTTCTCAGCAGCCAGGTCTGGGAAACGCTCCACTTTGGTCTTCTCCAGCCGGTTCAGTATCTCATTCACCTTTTTCTCCACCGTCAGCATTTTCACCTTTGGATTGCAAAGAACTATGATCCTTATAAAAAAATACTTTTACTTTGGCACTTGCTCAACGGAAAGAAAACACCCGCTTTCTACTTTACACATGACTGAAACCCACAAAAACAGATGCTAAGAAAAATAACTGCCACCTCAGCCTATTCAGCAGGTTGCATAAGAGCAAAAAGTGACCCACTCCCAACACCCCTAAGCTGATCTAACCCACGTGGGCACTGCTGGGTGCGTAAGCATYTCCAGTTTGCTTTCCTGGTGTGTGTCTCAGCAGAGGCCAGGCAGCGAGCACTGGTCTCTGCTGATGCCTAAAGAGCTGGTAGCAGATCTCTGCAGACCTTTTTGGCAGGAGAAACCCATGTGTTGAGCTCCTGCAGCCTTGCAGTTGTGCTGCAGTTCTTGTTCTGTGGCCTGGAGGGGTTTGTTGGTTTGGCCCGTCCCTGCCCCAGCACAGATGTGTTTTATCCCAGCACCTGCCTCTCTCGAGAGCCAAGCTGTGACACTCCCAGTTTCAGCCTAATGTTACATGGGGACACTAACTCAGTTTGGGAAGAGGCCCGAGCCCACACCAAAGCTGAAAAGTCGTTTCTCAACACGTTTACACACAGGTGTCCGGCTGCAGCAAGTTAAAATACGGCCTCAACAGCAATAAACTCGAGCAGAGAGCACAGACTGACACTTYATGCTGCTCTGCATCAGCTGCACAGCGCTGCTGTTTGAAACACGTGCTGTGCAGGCTGCACTCACACGAGCTGCCACTCCAGCCACGGGATTTCAGTTTATTTTTCATGAATCCAAACACATCCCTGGGATCTCTCGGAGCTTTTGGGAGAGAATGTCCCCTGCCCCAAGGCAAGTGCTGGAGACAATTCCCCTGGCTCCTATTGCAGGAACGTTACGGGCATGGAAAGCTCACAGCCTGTCAGTGAAGGCGACCTGCTGGCCCCCAGCAAACACTCACATCCTTCTGCCTGTGAAACCCAATCTGCCCCACGTCCATGTCCGCAGTCTTCTTCAGGTTAGTCCAGGGCGTGTAAACCACGTTGACGTTGTTCATCTTGCAGCCTGGGGAGCAGGGGGAAAGAAAGAGTGGGAATGTGAGTGGAAACGCCGCGTGATTCGACTCTCCATCGTTATAAACTAGGTAAGGAAGCAGCAGAAGGGCCCGGGTGCTGCCAGGGAACAGAGCGAGGCGACTACATCGCTTTCTGCAGCAAGGCGAGYGCTGCAGCAGCGCTAATGAAATCCAGATGGAGGGAGGGAGGCGGCGCCAGGCGAGCGAGCGCTGCCCGAGGGGCCCAGGGCGGCCCCCTTGGCTCCCGCAGCACCGCGGAGGCACCTCCAGGAACTCAGGAGATGCAGAATTCCTCCCTCCGCGAGCACGGCGGGCAAATCCAGCGGCTGGGAGCGGCATCTGCTTCCCACACGGCAGAAACTTCGCTTGATGCAAACCCCACACATTCTTGTGGGCCTCATACACTCACCAAGCACCTTCCCCACAGCAATTTGGCCTCCCAACAGACACCCCAGCAGCAGCACCAAGATAATCAGCATCCCCCAGCATCAATTAGCACCTCCCCGCATCGGTAATTACCTTGAATGCTATTAGCCTTCACTAGATGGGCACAGTCTATCAACACTTCTTTGGGAATGTCATCCACTGTCTGCCCCTGTGACAGAGCAACACGACATGAGCACCGAGGCCAGAAAGAGGGATCAGCTCCCTAAACACACCCRTGGTTTCCCACCGCACGTTTTCCAGACGCAGAGCTTGTAAGGAGAGGCTTAGAGGAGCAACGCAGCTCACATCCCGCTTTTCCCAGTGATATTTTCCCTGTTTTTGTGCAGAGATTGTTTCTAGGCACACGCCTGGTGTCAAGCCAGAAGTCATTCGCTCGGCAGTCCTGGGCCCATTAAATTTCCTGCTCCTCCCCGCGTTTCCTAACGGAGGCCGTAAATTCCTCCTCTCCACATGGTCATTACCTGCATCCTTAGGGAGTCCCCCAATTCCAGAGCTTCATGCAGGCAGGAGGTGCTTGCTGCAGGGCAGCCCCTCGCAATTCTTACACAGACAAATGTTAATTAGGACTCATTAAAAGCTGCGGGATTACCTTGTGTAACCGCAGATACACGTGCGCGGAGGACAGCTTATCCACATGAAACCTAAAAAACAACAAAAAAGCACATTTAATTGCAAGTTGGCAAGGAGGGTCTCCTTCCCAGCAAATGACATAGCGGCCACTCCAGGGAAAAGAAATCTGGGCTGGTCACRGCATTTGGAAACACCTAAGGAAGTCTGAGCTTATCCCTCAAGAAGCAGCACCTTAATGAGACCAAAAAMCAAACCTTCCTTGCCTGTTTTAAGTGATAGACAACCTGCAGGCAACACGCAGCAGATAAGCCTCCCCRTGCAGTGTTTTGGGGTATATTCTTAAGACAGGAACATAAACTATCAAACTCTTTAGCAGATGCTGCTGGTTATATCACTTATATGACTGGTCTCAAGCTGACATGGCAAAAACGGAAGAAAAACAAGCTAAAAACCTACTTTCTTGATATCACCCACTGCTGCACAACCCCACTTCACTTTCAAGGACGGGAGGGGTAATTGAATTCGTGCCACCTTCAGACCTCCAACCCTGGGATCAAATTTAAACTGTAAAATGGCCTTGGGAAAGGGAGATTGTGGAAGCGGGAAGGTCGATGCAATCACTCAACTCGGCTGCTTCGGGAGAGGACATTTGTTTCCGAGCACGAGCGCACRCAGAAGGTGCTCCAGTACCTACCAGATGTCCTCAGGCCACCCATATTTAATCAGGTCTTCGTCTGCAAGAACAAAAGCAGCAATGAGAAAGGTTGGACACGGCACAGAGGGTACCCAGCAGCAGAATGGGGCTCGAACACTGTCGCTCACTGCAGTAGGACACAACATCCATGCTAGGAATCATCATTTCCAAAACACACAGTGACTTTGGTAAACCCAAACTCTGAATACATCTAATTTCCTTCCTCCTCTGACACATCTCCATTGCATTGTTTTGAAAAATTTAAGTTAAAATATTTCTTCAGTATCTATTTGACAGAGATCAGGTTTCTTTCAGGGAAGGTCTTCAGGATAGTGATACAAACTCTTCCCACTCAGAGAGAGACATCCTGGATTTAGAGCAGGTGCTGATTTGGAAACAGGAGAGGCAGCAAAACTGTAACCTTCAGCTCAGGGGGAAGGACGGGAAGAGAAAACCCATGAGTATGAGCAATCACCRGAGAACACAGAAACATAATCTCCCAAATTCTGCTTAGTCTATCAATTAAAAACCAAAAGGAAGTAACTTCTATCTCTTTTTTTTCAGTTAATTTAAATCATTCGTATTTATGTTGTTTGGAGGATCATAAAACTTTAGCTATCCTTGCTAAAACCAACACTATAAATTCCACAGGTATAAGTCATAATAACTTACATGGGTGGAAGCATTTTTAAACAATATACAATTTCAACACATAAAAAAAAAATCCTTTCAAACATGGTTAAACCCCATAAATTCAAACCCAATCTGTCAAGAGCATCAATATACTTACTTTCGTATTTGTCTTTTCCCATGTAAATGGTGTAAACGGAAGGAACAACTGAGGGATAGAAAGAAGAAAACAAATCAAAGGGGGTTTTGGACAAATTGTGCAAGGAGGTGGCGCAGGACACACCAGCCTCGGTCACTGAAATTGGAATGAAAAACATCTCATCTACCCCACTTCCCTCCTGGGAAGATTGTTTGGCATTTGCTCCAGGTTTGGTTCAACATGTTTAAGAGGATGTTTTGAGCGGGGTTGCCACCCACTTTCCAGGGGAGGTGATGGATGAAGGAAGGGCTTTCTGAGCAAAATGCCCCCGGTCAGCCACGTGCTTCGGCCTCTCCAAGCAGTGATAAGATCTGAGCGAAGGAGGTCTGCGAGGCAGAAATGCCAGTGTTGTGTTTGCAGCCTCCCTCTTACATAAACCCCCCTGTTTCCCTGGCCTTGGTTCCTGCGAGGCGTCGAAGGGCGACGCTGACCTGCCTCGGGGCGCTCACAAAACCRCATTCCTCAGGGCACCCAAAACACCCAAACTGGCATAAATCAGTTACCGACTTGCAGTCCTGTTCGAGCCGCTTGGGGACACTTTGAACAACGACATCCTCCTCTTCAGGGCTCATTCCCCAGTGCAGGAAAGACTCGKTTTTGTTTCTACTAAACACAACGACTCTCCCTTTTTAGCTCCTTGGAACAGCACGAAGCAACACGGTGCTACAGCCAAGAAYTGCTGATTACAGAGATCCCAAACAACTGTCTTGAAGCTCCCACTAACCAACCARAAAATGTTTTCATAAACAGCAACAGGAAAATATCAACTATCTACCTGTTTAGGTCAGAAATGAGGAAGAAACGAAACAGAATTCTATTATTAGTCTATAATAATAGAATAATACAGCAGGACGTTACTTCCAATCCATACGATTTAACACACTTTGGTGACAGTACAACGTGTTTTGAGCAAACTGCAACAGCCTTCACAATTACAGCGCCTCTCTGGTGACCTAACCAAGTGACAATGACAGAAACTCTTTGCAGAACCATCATTTAAGGGATATCGTTTGTATCTTTAGCCTACATAATGGCTCKACTACTGCAGCTTTTCTGCTTGCAGCACCATCTAAGTCATCCTCCCCATCTGCAAGGCGTTAGATCGAGGCCCTTTTCCTTCCTCCCAGGAGAAAAGTCATCCTGGAGGTCAAGAAACACAGAAATCGCTTCCAGTTTCCCACCAGCAGCCGCTTATCAGCAGCAAGTGCTTATGTTACAGCGTCAAATTAAATTCCCAGCAGGTATCATCAGCACATCAGCTCAGGGGCGTGGAAGAGGCTCCACTTCCCACACCAGAACTTTTTTAAACCGAGCCCAAGAAGAAACCTACGTCAGAAACGCCAAGACCAGCAAGCCCTGCCCAAGGACAACGAGGTACGGGACACTCGAATGTGTCTCGTTGAAGAGCTTCACCTCCAGAGCTGAGCAAGACAACGATGCACCAGCTTGGGAATACACCGGGCAAACGGAAAAAATCCTGCCAGAACCTAAGGGAGCCGGTTATRTTTTGGTAAAATGAAGTAGTGCAAGAAAAAAATATATATTTATATATATTCCTATACTGCTCAKCATTATATGAGCCCATACCACACTGAAAGACAGCTTCCAGATGTTTTGGAAAGAGACAGTCCTTTTGTAAGGCAAAACACAGCGAATCCGGCTCTGTTTAGACCACGAGACTCCCCGCACTCTGCGCCCACCGCTGCTCCCCGCACCGGGCCCGTCGGCGGCCCCACAGCGGCTCCTCCGCGCGGGGACCCCCCTTTTTGGGGGCTTTAAAGGCCCACCGGCCTCTGCCCTCACCGCGGCCCGGCTACGGGCCCGCAGGGAGGCCCGAAAGGGGACGTGTCGCGCTCAGGGAACCGGCGGCGGGCCAGGGCCCGGCGGGGGGACCGGGCCCGAGGTGTGCGGGAAGGCCTCGCGCGGCCTCTCACCGTTGGAGGTGAAGTAAAACACCATGACGATGGCGGCGGCGCGGGGGCCTCCCCGCCCGCGCGGCCCGGCCCGGGCTCCGCTCGGTAACCGCGCCCGCCGCGCTCCCCTCAGCCGCCCACAGGCCGCGCACCGGAAGCGGAGCGGCGCGCATGCGCAATGGCGGAAGGGACGGGGCTGCGCAAAGTGCGCATGCGCATAACGGCGTGGCGGGGCCGCCTCGCCTCCAGGCGCATGCGCCAAGCTCAGCTCTCCCGCGCTGTGAAGGCCGAAGCAGAGCTGCGCATGCGCACTGTTGTATGCCCGGTGAGGGCAGAAAGAACGCTGCGCATGCGCCCCATTCCCGGCGCGGTGAGGGCAGAAGGCTACGCATGCGCTCGACTGCCAGCACGGTGAGGGCAGAAGGAGCGCTGCGCATGCGCTCCCCGGCCTGGCAGCGCGGGCACGCAGCACTGCGCATGCGCAGCTCTCACAGGCGCTCCCGCCGAGCGGTTCGTGCGCATGCGTAGAAAGGCTTCTCCCCCTCCCTCCGGCGTGAGTGAGGCGACGCGTGGTGGCACTGAGGAAAAAAGTGCGCTCGGAGGCAACTTTTAAGSCTGAATGTGCTTAAATTGCTATTAGAGGGTGCCTGGGTTTCAGTGGGCTGYCTCTTTGGCGTGTTGTGCCCGTGCTGAGCTCTAGTGAGCGTTCTCTTTGCCCCGCTGGGAATGTGGCTCTCCTGAAGGGAGTCACAGGTGGAAAACAGAGGCAGCGAAATAACCCAGGAGGGGGGGAAACAGAGGGGATGCACTGTCACTCAGGAGGAGTCTCGCTTGTCTTTGCTGTCAATTCCTGCCTTGGCTTTTACTGACTATTTCTTCCTTACAGACATCTATCTGAGGGGAAAATGTTCAAGAACGGAGACTGACCACCCTGTTGGCTCTAGGAAGCTTTCCTGAGGCTTCTGGTGGCTTCATCTATTAACGGTGGGTATCTGTCGCACAAACCCTTTCACTTGCTCTCCGAGTTCACCCYGATTGCCTCGTGGCATAACCTTTGCATTCTACAGTGTAGCATAGTTTTCTTGGACTTTAGTAATGCTGGAATATTAGCTTTATTCTTTAGCAGATGAGAAGACAGGATCTGTAGTAGTTAGGTTTCATAGCACGCAGCACTAGATTTCTGTATGGCCCAGCCATAGAAATGCGTAGAACCGTCATCACTGCCACATCCATCTCCTTTGGCTAATCCTGGCTTGGGAATGTTGCTTTTCAGTTGCAAGTTAACCATCGTTTATGGGAGATGCTCTTAACTGCAGGGCTCAGATGGCCCATTTAAAAGCAAAGGCAGCATAAAGTGCTTGCTGCTCCAAGCCATGTGAATTCCTCTCATGGGCTTCATAAGCCAAACGCCTCCCTTCCCTCCAGCCTCAGAGTTCCCCTTTCTTGCTCTCCCAAGGGAACTTCCTCTTCCATGATCCAGGGATATTTCTTTTGGCACTTGGGATAATTAAAATTAAGTCTCCCCATTGCAGAAGCTGCTAAATAACGCCAACAGTCCAGCCCTTATCCTGCCCTGCCAGAATTCGTGAGTGAGCACATGTGCCCACCTCGTTTGCCTATCTCACACGCAYAGAAGAGCAGTGGGCGGAAAGAAAGAAGTCTTGACACCAAAAGCGGTGTTTTTTGGAAGATTTTGGCCACGGGAGGTGCAGGAAGGTGACCCCCCCCCCGCCTACAAACCCCAGCATGCCCCGCGCGCTACCCCCGTTTGTAGRCGGCTCTGTGCGGCGCGAGGCATGCCGGGAGTTGTAGTCCTTCGCGAGAAGTGCGTGGCGAGCAAAGCCGTGGGGCGGGCCCAAAGGGGCGCGCGTCGCCTTGTCCAATGGGGATGAGGTTCGCAGTGAGTGACAGCGCGCTGGGCAAATGGGGAGCAGAGGGGAGGGGGCCGTGACGGGCGGGAGAGCCCGCGCGCTTTTGAACGCGCGGGAGCGTTGGCGGCTGAGGCGGYGCTGAGGTGAGAGGGAGCGCGGCCGCCTTCGTGACAGGAATGGGAACGCGGGGCTGCTCGGGGAGGGGGCTTGGTGTGGGGCGAGGGGTGTGGGGAGTTTGGTTAGGGTCTGGTGTCAGGTGAGTGTGGGGAGCTGGGGGGCTCTGGTGTGAAGTGAGGGGTGTGGGGAGCTGGGTGAGGGATGTGGGGAGATGGGGGTGTCTGGTGAAAGGTTAGGGATGTGGGGAGCTGGGGAGGTCTGGTGTGAGGGATGTGGGGAGCTGGGGGGCTCTGGTGTGAAGTGAGGGGTGTGGGGAGCTGGGTGAGGGGAGCTGCGGGGGGTCTTGTGTAAGGATAGGGATGTGTGGAGTGGAGGGGGC